GCTTTGCAGAAATACATTTTCTGAAGGCATTCTGATTTTCCGATAGTGGCTGCAGCCAGTGTTTAAAAGTCAGCCTCCTTGGACAGAAGCAGCCTAACTCCGAATGCCATTGCTGTGGAAATTCTTGGGTTGTGATTTTGGGTCACTGTGTGTGTCCTGCTGGCTGGGGATGATGGGGCTTGCAGCACTGTGCAGCTAGAAGATGCCAGGTTGAAGGGGAAGGCTGATCAGGGCAGACTTCTCTTGGGCAGGTCTGGATGTAAAGGTATGAAAAAGAGAAACCTGTCCAGCTTGACTAGGTTGTGTGCATTGACCAGAAGCAGCTGGAAGCCAACTTTTGTCCACCCTGGGTTGAAGGAAAGCTTGAGGTAATTCTACATGCTTCACCAGGTCTGTTGAAGATCTGGAGGCTGTATTCATAGAATGTGATGAATTTTAACCTAGTTTTTAACTAGTTTTGGTGAGATGTTTCACAGCTTAGCATAATTGTGCGAATTATGATTCAGAGTCTTGTGTGAACTCAGAATCTGGGTTAACCTGGTAACCAGGTTAAAGGGGGTGTGAAACAGCCTTTGTGAAACAGTGTCAACGAGGTAAGATAAACGGAGTGATGACTGCCCTTTGGAGCCAAAATAGGTAGCAAAAGCTGGACCATTCAGTTGTGTTCTCAGGCTGTGTTAGCAACTTAGGACGCACCATGGCTGAGAGAGGGGCAAAAGGAGTGCAATCCGATGGTTTTATAACAGATTTTCAGACCATCGATTATGATTCCACGATCTGCTTCTGGAGAGGTTAGCAGAGATGCCGGTTGATGGGCTTGTGAGTCTGCAACTGGCTTGACCCGTTCCTGGAGAATGCAGCAGGGCTATGAAGGCTTCACCCCTTGCTCCTCTGTTCCCTGTTTTTCTTTTAGCCCCCAAACAATTAAAAATATGAAACCATTGGGAGAAATCATCCTGAGATTTGGGTTGAGCTGCTTCCAATATTGTTATGATGGACTATAATAATAATAATAATTATAACTGGTGTGCATGGTGCCCAGTGGCTCTGTCTCCTTTTCACTGATTCCAGGTGGTATCCACCTGGTTGTCTAGGAACTGTAGTTAGGCCCCGTGGTGGACTCAAGGAGAGCTGATCAGTTGAGACTGAGCAATGTGGAAGCTCAAGCTTGTCTTCTGTGGCCCATTCCTACCTCACTGATGGGAACAAAGGTGGGTTGTGATGAGGCACAGCAACTCCATCCACGTTCTTGTGGAAGTTCAGAAGAAGACCTTGCTGTAATTGGTTTTCTGTTTTCTAAATTGAGGCCCAACCAAGCTCTCTGGCCTGGAGTGGCTTTTGGCAGCTTCAGCTCAGAGGCTAACTGTGCCCTTATCTGGATGAGGTTGGCTTAGCCTTCTGGCAGACACACCCACCTGGCTGCCTTCTGTCTGCCAAGCAGAGCATGGAGGCTTCCCACTGAAAAAACTGGGAAAAGCTTCCCCCAGATTTGAAATTGTATTTTGCAGCTTGTTGTTTAGTTTGGATGAAAGACTGGGTGACTTTGAGAAACAGGAGCTTATTAGAACAAGAGGGGCATGATTTAAGATTTGGCTGTTTACGGTACGACAAAGTTAAAGTTAATGTAGACGTGCCTTAAAGAGAATATGGAATAGATATAAAGCTAGGTTGTCCCCGAATATTTATGGTTGTCACCACAAGAAGCTTTTTATAGAAAAGAAATGATAATTAAGCATAAATGGTTAACTTATGTTGATGTATAAGTTGGAATTTTCTCAAGGGGACTGTAGATTAAAGACAAGAGAGGATCTGATTTCAAAAGGTTATACATGTCAACGGTTTTTTATGTACAACTACAAGAAAGGTTTAAAGTAGATAAAAGATCTTTTGGTTTCAGACATGGTAAGATTGAATTTGAGGTAGAATTATGTATTAATGATGCACATGTTATTGCTAAGATGTATGAAATTTTACTGAAGTTAGAAACAGAAGATGAATAAGTCAAACAATGTATGATAAAATGGGCTAAAAACGTTGAGTCTAACGTACCAATGGAACAGTGGGAGAATATGTGGATGAAAGGACTGAAATTTACGTTGTGTTATAATCTTAAAGAGAATTTTTATAAAATGATGCATCGCTGGTACTTAGCACCAGAAAAATTATCTAAAATGTATAAAGGAACTTCAAATATATGTTGGAAATGTGAACAACAAGAGGGGACTTCTTATCATCTCTGGTGGACTTATAAAAAAGCTAAAAAAAAATTGGAATCAAATACATATCTTAATTCATAAGATTTTAAAGATCAATATACAACCAAAACCAGAGACTTTTCTTTTGGGTTTTATGGACAAACAGTTGGAAAAAACTCATGGAACTTTGTTTTTCTATATGATAATAGCAAGGCTTTTATATCCACAAAGGTGGAAAGACTTGACATTACCTACGATGGAAGAATGGATGGGGAAGTTGATGGAGTTGGCTGAGATGGCGAAGCTGACGGCTTTTTCGAGAAAAGACTGAGTGATTTTAATGCTAATTGGAAGCCTTTTTTGGACTTCTTGTGTGAAACAGAAAAAAATGAAATTATGTTGTATGGATTTGATGATTAGAATCAATGGTGGCTAATAGAAAAAAATGGAAGTTATGTTGTAAACTTAGAGTAAGAGTTGTTACTTATATCTGTTGTGAGGAAAGTCGGAAGTCATTCTTTTCTGTAATTTTTCTTTCCTTTCTTTCCTTTTTTTTTGCACTTTTAACTTTGTTCTCCTTATTCTTATTCTTTCCTTCTTTTTTCCTTCTTTATCTTGAATATTAGTTTTCGTTAGTTTTTACTGTCTATCTTAAAATCTAATAAGGTTATTTGAAAAGAGAAACTGGTAAAAACCTCTCCAGAGACTTTTCTTTTGGGACTAATGGACGTGCAATTAGAAAAAAGTCGTGGAACTTTGTGTTTATCTATGACAACTGCAGTGAGACTATTATATGCTCACAAGTGGAAAGGTTCAGCACTACCCACGATGGAGGAATGGCTGGTGAAGATGATGGAACTTGCGGAGATGCCTAAATTGACTTCTTTGATCAGGGAAAGGACAATATCTACATTTATGGAAACCCCTGGTAGACTTTTTGCATGAAGCAGAAAAAAAATGCACTTATGATTTGTGGTGTTGATGATTAGGATCCAACTGGATAATAGGAAAAAGTGAGCTTTGTTTTTGTAATCATAAAGTAAGAGTTAATTTTGTAATTGTATTTATATTTGCTGCAAAAGAAATCAGAAGCTTTTTTTTTGCTCTCTCTCCACTTTTTCTCTCTCTTTTTCCTTTCGTTGTTCCGGTTACTCTTTATTAGTTTATGTCAGTTTTATGTTCTTTGTAAAGCTCTAATAAAAGTTATGTATATAAAAAAAAACTGGTGAAAACTTCCGCCTGTTCATCACAGAGCTGCAAGATGCTTTAATGGCAAGGTTGGCGCATCTCGCTGAGGTTTTACCACCAGTGTAGTTTCTGGTCTGTTCACTGGATCCTGTTCAAAGGGCGATTTGGACTTTTTCGCCCTTTTTCCAGCTTGAGGCCGGGTTCCTTGCCTTCTCCCGTGGGTATCTCAGACTTGGAGAGGAGGTGGGCTGGGGGATTCCAAGGACTGGCTTTTGTGGCGTCAGACCTCAAGAGAGGCTCCCCCAGCATCTTTTGCTTGTGGCCTTCAGGAACAGGTGAAATCTTTCTTAAATTTTTTTCCAGGTCTTTAAAGACCCCACCTATCTAATAAATTGTGCTTCATCCACCCTTCATGGTTGACTGATGCATCGTAATAATGTCCTGATCGCTCTAAGCTACCTAAAGGACACGGCTTCTGAACAAAGTAGGTGAATCCATGTCAACTGCTTGGCTTCGTAAATACAAGTGCACGCGTGGCAGGTCCTGCTCTGGGATTCTGCCTCTTGTGAACTGTTTAGTGGGAGGTCCATTCAGAGCTATCAGCCACATTGCAACAGCATCAGTGGCCACCTAGGTTACTAGCCACCAACTCTTAAAAACTACAACAAAAACAGTGACCAACAGTTATCTTGGTTTATGGGACTTACCTTTGAAATGGCATCTCGTCCATTTCTGACCAGAACTGGCAAAGGGTTCCCTCCCCTGCAAACTGATACATTATCTAAAACAGAAATGCAGCTGAATTTTAGATGGAGCAGGACAGTTTTCAGCTTTTGTGCCCAGGGCTGGCCAGTGCCCAAGCTAATATGGCAACCTTAAAGGGGAAAGGGGGGTTGATCTTTCTTTCTGGCGTATTGAGGGTTCTTTGCAGAAAACTCTTGGATGTCTAGACATGGTCAGGTTAAATTCAGGGCATAAAGGGGAGGTCCAGGTGGGGACATTTAAGGAAGAACTGGATTCTCTGGCCCTTTAAATCTCAGACTCCACCTCTCCATTATTTACATTGTCTACATTGCAATTTTATGTGTGTGTCCCCACGCTAATTCAAAGAAGTGTGCCTGATTGGCACAGATTGCGCTTGCCACCATGTTCTCTCCTTCATCCCAGTCTTCTCCAGCAGGTCTTCCTGCTACGGCCAGTGGCCGCTTTTTTGACAGATGGAAGGATTATCTTAACCTCTCCAAGGTTGTGATGGAGATCGTTGAGGACCGGAAGAAGCCCCAAGGTTTCTGTCCCCAGAGGGACCCCCTTGAGAGGAGCGTGCCACCCGTTCCTTGCAAGGATCCCTCGAAAGCCACCGTGCGCTGGGCTAATGGAAGTGGCAGCAGTGGAACCAACAGCTCTGGGAACGGCACCGACGGTGGAGACCTCCAGCCCGCTCAGCCAACCGGCCGAGGGATCTGCAACTTCTGCAAACACAACGGAGAGTCCAAGAACGTCTATTCTTCTCACCCCTTGAAAAGAGCCGACGGGGTGGTTGTCTGCCCCATCTTGCGCAACTACATGTGCCCGCTTTGTGGAGCAACTGCCGACAAGGCCCACACGCTGAAATATTGCCCCCTCAATCAGGGGAAACAATCTTTATATCGCAAGTGTGGGCGCAACTCAGCCGGACGCAGGGTCAAGAGATAAGCGTGCCCTGGGGGAGCCCCCAACCCGTGTCACGGAAGAGCCAAAGAAAAAAGAAGTTATGTCTGCAGAGTGGCAGGGTGATGAGAAGGCAACGCGCGCCTAACGCTTGGAAAGCAAGAAATCCAGAGGGGTTCCCCAATGTTCAGTTCTTCAGAATCATAGTTCCAAAAGAGGCGCCTTTAATTCCTTTCTTTTGTATGCCAGGAAGATGATGGATGAGAAAAACGTTTGTTTTGAAGTACAAGGAGACTTGCGCGTTTCCGATACACCAGATTTCAGTTTCAGGGAGAAACAAGCACAACTCTTTGTTTTCAAAAACGAAATCTGTAAGTACCAAAGTACTTTTTTGTTTGTCTGGGATGGTCCCGAATCATGTCCAAAAGAAGTCACCGTTGGCCTTAAATTAACCCACGAAGAAAGGAAAATACGTTGTCGGTTTCTTCCGTGTCCTGTAGCGTTCATTACCGAACACATTAGACGAGTTGCGATACTTGGAACGATATTTATATCTGGGTTTGTAATATGTAAGTTTATTATGATTCTTCTTTTTTAAATAGTAACATGTTGACTGTTTGAATTTAATAAACAATGTTTTCCATTATTGCATCAAATTGCTGCTTCCTCCCTTTGCTTTGAATCCCTGGGTTGAACTTTCCTCAGTTGGAGAATCTCGTGCAATACTTAAATCTTCACTCCAGACTTAATTTTAACTCGGGAGTAAGTAGGTTTTGCTTTGTTTGATGCTTCGTCTGGAGTTAGAGAGACAAGCTGCAGATCTCCGGCTGATGCACTATTTTGATGCACCAGTCAGGGAGACTCCTGTTGTGAAAACTCACCAAGCGGAAAGTGATATTCTGTTATATTCTGCACGTATATCTCATGTGCAAAGAGTGGACGTCTGCAACCTCTGTAAATGTTGAAAATGGGCATTTATTTCTGCGGCCTGCGTAATTTTTAATGCTTTCATCTGAGTTGGGAGGACCCCGTCTTCATTTCTAACAGGGAAAGTTCAGTTAGAAAATCCTAGATTCCTCCTTTGGCTTTTGAGACGGACACGATCATCGTCTTGTATTAGCCGACATACTACTACATTTATTATGGTATGGTTTTCTGTGGACTAAGGGATCATGCACAAGGTATCAACCTGTTGCTGGCATTGTCTTTGCATGGTTTGGGTGAGGAAGAGGAGGAGAAATGGGCTTACAAGCAGTGAGGTCAAAGTGAAATGCAAGGAGAGGCAGCAACGCTTACTCGAAACATTTCAAAACACCACAAAACTTGCTGGTTTCTTTGCTGCAACAGACAATCAGACCTGCCCTCATGGAGATGTCTACACACATTACATAAGCACTCCCAGGCCAGCATGAGGGCTAGAAACTTGATTTGTTCATAATAATTCTATCCCACCCGTCAAATCCAAATGCACTTCTCAGGACAGCTGGCAAACCATAAGAAACATAAATGATTAGACAGCCAGCTTGGCAACTGAAACCAAATTATGAAACAGGCTTGCCCCAGAACAAATCCCTTTTGCTGGAATAGCAACAGTCCTGGTAAAAACAGGGATTTTAGGGAACCAACAGCATAAAATAGGAAGTGGAGACCCTCTTCAGTCCTCCATCAACTGATGTTTCCAGATGTGTTGCTATTGTAGTTCCCAGAATACTGTGTTTAATATATCTAGATGAGTTTTTTTTCCCAAACCGGGCCACTTTAAAATGTATGGACTTCAACTCCCAGAATTCCCCAGCCAGCTGGGAGTTGAAGTCCAT